TAAGAGACAGCCCCTCACCCCTCCCCTCGCTGTCCCACAGGTTGCACCAGTTGCCGGGATCTCTGCACCAACCAGCAAAACGTCGTCCGAAATGGCAGCCGAGGTGAGGATGAACTTTGCTTCTCCGGCGAGTGGTCGCGGGGTGCTCTGAGCCTGACTGCCCGACACCCCCAGCCCTGCAGCCTGCCCCGCTCTTTTGGGTGCTTCTCTCTAATATATTTGTTTTATCAGTGTTTAAATGAAGAAGGGGGCAGCAAACGTATTTGCTGCATTTATTTCTGCCAACCCAACCTCTGATTTCGGTGAAAACTCATGTTAGTGGAGATAGATAACTCGAAATTATACTTTGGTACCTCTTCCCCATCCGAACACTTGGCTCCCAGCACTGGCCTTTCACTCCCCATCCCCTCCACCACTCACCTCAGGGGACTGGTTTCCCGGTGAGAAGCTGCAAAACTTTGCGTTTTTTCAACTCCTATTTCCCCGCCCAACTCCCTGCCGCCCCTCCCGACAAACCTGCTCCAGATGCCCGGCACCCAGCCCGTGCCTACCCCCTGAGCTCCGCAGGCTCCTCCGGCCCCCCTCCCAGGCACCCTGGGTCACAGAGCCCCCGGGGCTGCGGGGGCCCGGCCCTGGCCACCGCCCGCTGTCCATGGTAGCCCGCAGAGCGGACCGGTAGCCCCGCGCCGCGCTGATCCACAGACCTTCCGCGGGGTGGTTTGGGGTCGTGGGGTTTTCTTTCTTTCTTTTTCCAGTGAATGTCTGTAATACTGAAAGGTACCCAGGCCTTCCTTTCTGGGGTCTCCACCTTAACCAGTTTTATGCTCATTTTATGCCAAAGCTTGCAAGAACATCAGGGACTCCGGAGATTCTTCAAACGGTAAATTCATAGTCACAGGGGTGTTTTAGGGGATGTGGCTTGTTCACAGCTCTTTGTCAACCGAGTATTTTCTTATAATCTCCCTAAAAGAATGACTTTTTAAAAAGTATTATTTAATGTAACAGTAGATAGCTTTCACTATATCCCCAAATCCCTTTTTTTTTTTTTCCTGTCAGGAGACTAACAAAGGGTCAGTGATCACCAGCTGCCTTAAAAAACAGATGCATGCTGGTCTTGCACTAGATGCCCTGATATTTGTTTTCATGGACAGGACGTAGTCTCTCCAGAGTAAAGTACCTGGAGGATTCCCAAGCCAGACCTGACACCACTAGGGCTAAATTCTAGCGGCAATCACTTCACCTATTTAGGTACTGGAAAAAAGTCTTAAAGTCCAGAGATCTGCTGGTCAATGGCACAGCAGTGAATAACCATTACTGAGTATGTCCTCAGTTTTACAAGGATAAGGAGTGGGATGGATATTAACTGATTTTTAGGGGATTTCTTGGTAAGACTTTTGAACACACCTCAACTTCATTACTTGCAGGGGGATAAAATGATGGGAGGAAGGTTTGTTGGAAGTACAGATCCAGTCATGGAGATGCTCAGCTCTTCCATTACCTATGATCAGAGACTGGCTGAAGTTGATATCCAGGGGAGCATGGCTTACGCCAAAGCCTTGGAGAAAGCCGGTATCCTATCTAAAACTGAGCTGGAGAAGATCCTGAGTGGCCTGGAAAAGGTATTTATTTCCTTCACATCTGTCATGTGTGCTGGAAAAAATGTCTGCTTTTCTAACAGCACCTGTACTAGACTCCCTGAGTTGCCCTTGGAGACATTCTGGGCAGGGGATGGATGCTCAGATTTCATCCCGCTAAAGGCACCAGAGCCCAACAGTAGGTTGTGAACCAGCTGACGAGCACCCAGGGAGACCTGAAGCCCCGATGAGCACACTCCCGGTGCTCAGTACAGCAGCCCCGGGCCTCGCTGAGGTGTGCTCACTGTGACCTGCCTGCCCATCCTCTTCAGGCTGAACATTCACCAGGAATTGTTTCAGTATGAATTAGGAGTATTCTTTTTCTGCTGGCACTTGGGATCCTTTTGAGTCTGGCAGCCCAAGTAAGTAGGAGGCAATGTATAGCATTGTATAGGGGTGAAGAGAAGTCAGCAGCTAAGCGCTTTTTTAAAATATCCATTGTTGTTGCTCACCCACCATGGACAATGGTGACTCTATACAATATTTGTATAGGAAAAATTATTTGTGGACAATGCTAAAGCAATCACTGACATTTCAGCTCGCTCTTCTGTTGCAGTGCTTAAATCCTCCTATAGCCATAACTTCACACTTCGATTTGCACTGGGATGGCAGAAGCTGGTATTTGCTGGGGACACTTACAGCCCCCGCCACGCAGCAGGGTAACCGTGGTGGCTGACTGCTGTTTCTGCTGGTGTTTGTAGATCTCTGAGGAATGGTCTAAAGGAATCTTTGTGGTGACCCAAACTGATGAGGACATCCACACTGCCAATGAACGCAGACTAAAGGTCTGGATCCTCTCACCTCTTGTTCCCATTCCTCTGTAGCTAGATCTGCCTGACGTTAAGTGCATGTGCCTCTGTCCCTCTCTGAAATTCCTCTGGACCTTGTGGCACTGGAACCCCAGGTGCACAAACAAGTGTCTCCAAGAGCCCTGTTGTGCAAGAGGCACTGTACAAGCATAGCTCCCAAACTTGCCCTTTTCCCCAGAGGAGATCCCACGGCTACTCGCAGGTTGCTAGAGCCGAGTCCCTCCCAGGCAGGGGGGAGGTCTGATCATGTGGAATCTTCTGCTTAGAATATGAGATGCTGACAGAAATCCTCCTCTTGTCCTCAGGAATTGATTGGAGACATAGCAGGAAAGCTGCACACTGGAAGAAGCAGAAATGATCAGGTATGTACAGAGCCTTTATTTTTTCTCCACTGTACTCCTCCCCAACCTCATTTTAGGAGACCTCAGACCAGAATGGCTTTTGGGAGAGCAATATAGAGTGACATTACCACATCAAAACGACCAATTTATGAGGGGAATATATCCCTTCCCATCACAAAGAACACAGAGGGGATAACGCTGCCAAGCCTTTCTGGGGAACAGCATTTGGTCACTAAGTATGTCACATTCTGCTTTGTCTGACGGTGGCCAATCTCACACAGGTTGTGACCGACTTGAAGCTGTTCATGAAGAATTCCCTCTCTGTCATCTCCACTCACCTCCTGCAGCTCATTAAGACCCTGGTGGAACGTGCTGCCATGTAAGACCTTTTCCATATCCATCGCCTTGGCCTGGCAGGGCCAGGAGACTTCTAGGCTTGCTCTTGGACTGACACCACTCAGGGCAGCAGCAGGGCCTTCTGTGGAGGACATTACAGACAGGCAGGGTGTGGTAGCACAGGGAAAGCAACAGTCCCCCTTTCTCCACAGTTCACATCACAGAGGCCTTCCTCTTCCCCCCAGTGTGTCCTAGCAAAGGAGTTGAGGTGGCAGGTCCATGCAAGGCTTCAGAAGGCACCAAATCCACCTGAAGGAGTGGGGAACTTGAACATGTGTCAAGTTGTTCTGTAGGGGAAAAGCTCAGCTCTGGTAACTCCCTGTCTAACTCTCCTCCTCACAAACCACCCTCCAAACCGGTGGTGGACTGGGGAATCTTTGCCTGCCACAGGGGGATTACCATGCCAGGCAATTTTCCAGGGCAGCCTAGGGCAGACACACCACCCTGGAAGATGGGGAGATCTGAACCCAGTGTGCTTAGGGTGAAAGGTGAAAGGGTGAGGAAGAGACAGACCAGCTTCAGCACAACACAGGCTGAAGATGTTCTCTTTGTGACCTTGGCAGAAACCCCTGGCGTGTGCCTGCCACTGCCTTCTCTCCTGACTGCTGCTCTCACCTCTTTCTCTCCTTTCACATGCAGAGAAATTGATGTTATCTTGCCCGGCTACACCCACCTGCAGAAAGCTCAGCCCATCAGATGGAGCCAGTTCTTGCTCAGGTAAGCACCTCTCACACTTGGCTGGAGGAAGCCTTCTCCACCCGTAGGGCCCTGCTCAGCTGGAGCCTAGAAGTGCATCATCCTCTGAGGGGCAGCCGGGGGTGGTCACAAACCAGAGCTAACCCTGCCAACTGGAACTGCAGCTCCCCGTGTGTCTGTGGGGCTCTGACCAGGAGGGCCCCCAAGCACTGAGTGGGCAGTGCAGGCTGACACCCTGTGCGCTCCATCCTTTGACCACTCCTACCTCTTGGGTCGGGTGACACTTTCTGACTTGAGGTATTTCATCTCTCGTGTCCTTTCCTAGCCATGCTGTTGCTCTGACCCGTGACTCTGAGCGCCTGGGAGAGATAAAGAAGAGGATCAACGTTTTGCCTTTGGGAAGGTAAGGTCTATTTTTTGTGCAATCACTTGGCCTTGCTTTGCCCTGTAAAATCTTCAGAGGTGCCTTTTCTGCTTCTTAGAGCTCAGTTTTGCTTGCAGTATCCAGGATATCATGTGTGATTTCTGTTTCTTTCTCCCCTGGCAGCGGTGCTCTGGCTGGCAACCCACTGGAAATTGATAGAGAGCTTCTGCGTAGTGGTAAATGTCTCCCTGTGACTGAGAGGCACAGGATTACTTGTAATACCTTGGAGGGAGGGAAGCATTGATACATGGCTCCCAATGGCACAGTAATGCACTGTCCTGGAGCCAAAGCCTTTCTTTTATAAGACTTTTTACTGCAATGAGACAGGGAATGTCTACAAGGTCGCAGCAGGAAGAGCCACCTCTGCTGCACATTGGCTGCCTGGGGGTAAAAACAAAGTCTGCAGCTAGAGTAACACTTAAGCATGGTTGTTTTCTGGGACTACTCAAGGGCTCACTGTCACATGCATGCCAAGGCAGCCTGCTGCATTCAAGCTCCAGACATGCCAAACCTGACCTCCTCTGTCTATCACCTTCCTTACAGAGCTGGACTTTGCCTCCATCAGCCTGAACAGCATGGATGCCGTTAGTGAGAGAGACTTTGTGGGTAAGCACAACCCAGTCACATCTTCCCACTGCTATTTTAGAAGCAGACTTCTGAGAACTTCCCAGCTGACTTTCTTTGAGGGGACTGAAATCCCCCACTTTGAAGTAATTCCAAAGCTCCAGTCAGAGCTCCCTGGGTTGTCAAGCAAACAAGCACCTTTTTCACCCCATGATTTCCTGCCTTCTCTGCAGTGGAATTCCTCTCTGTTGCCACCCTGTTGATGATCCACCTTAGCAAGATGGCTGAAGATCTCATCCTCTACAGTACCAGCGAGTTTGGCTTTCTGACAGTCTCCGATACCTACTGGTAGGTTGCTGGTCTCTGGGGAATAATTTTCCTCAGCTATCCCCTCCTGAGAGAATGAGCCAGTGGTTGGGGTCTCCCTGCTGCATAAGGCTGACACAGCATTAAGATTTTGGCAGAAAGGCAGCCTTAGGGTGAATATTCCTCAGCCACAATCACTTATTTCTGATTCTGGTAACTCAACCAAGTCTGCATTCAGCAGACACTCCTCCCCAGCAGCTGCTGGCAGAGAGAACTTCCTCGTCTGCCAGGAAAGCCTGCCAAAGCCCGCCCTTGGCTACCCAGGGTTGCAGGCCTGGCAGATATCCTGTCTCTCAGGGAGGCACAGCCACAACCTCTGAGCTCACAGCAGCGGTCCAAAAGCAACACATCAGTTTTGGAGGGCTGGGTCAGTCTGCTGCATGACCCGTGTCTGTGTGGACTGGGGTCTTGCTCACTGTTACACCCCACACACCTTTCTTTCAGCACTGGCAGCAGCCTGATGCCTCAGAAGAAGAATCCTGATAGCCTGGAACTGATCCGCAGCAAGGCTGGACGGGTGTTTGGACGGGTGAGCCTGCAAAAGAAAGAAGCGGGATGGGGAAGCTGCTCCTACCGGGGATGAAGAATGTTCCTCCTCCTTGCCCCCTGTAAAGCCTTAAGCTCTGCCGGGGCAGTGTGCTTCTCTTCCTGTAAGTAACTGCCTCCCCTGTTTCTCTCTGCAGTTGGCTGCTATTCTCATGGTTCTCAAAGGACTTCCAAGTACCTACAACAAGGATCTGCAGGTAAAACAGGTCTCAGTTTTCACACCATCCCTCTGAGCAGACACCGCCATCTTCTGCTCTTGAGCAGGCTTCCACCACCTCTCCCTGCACAGCCCCTGCTTGGGTGTAGGATGCAGGGAAGGGGCTGAGGCACAGCGTGCTGCTGCTGACACCCTGGCCGAAGCAGGAGCCCCTGGATGACGCCGGCTCTGCTGGCTGCGCTGCTCAAGTCGGTGGGTTTTTGGGATGCATCAGGTTGTCTTACGGCAATTTCCATCCCTGTTCTAACGCAGGAGGACAAGGAGGCCGTCTTTGATGTTGTGGACACCCTGAATGCTGTGCTCCAGGTTGCCACTGGAGTGATTTCTACCCTCCAGGTAAGGCTCCAGCCTCTCACTATTGAACACGGTTGGGGTGCACGTTCTGTGC